GGAAGCAACTAGTAAGAAACTGTGGGAATGGGGTGGCTTTGCAGAGGATAAACTGTGAAGATTTTTGTGTTGAGAGCCTTGATCGGAGGAGGGAGTGACAAGATGAGACTGGAAAGGTATGTGATGCATGTGGTCTTTATGTTGGCATATAATATGTTCATAAAATATTAATGTAGGCCTATCTTTTGGATGATCATCATTAGCATATATTTTACTGATCTATAGCAAGATTTGTGAACTTTACTGACTCCAAATACTTTGAGACATGTAAAGACCGAAACCAAACTACTAAGGATCTTCCTTGAAAAGCACACAGAAACAGATAAATGTGCACAGTGTTTCACAATTTAATTAAGGTCATGTTCATCTTGGAGCCTATTCCTGCGACCATAAATTTCAACTTAAAATACCCAGAAAATATTTTCCAGTAAGCTAAATTAATTGTGCTCATTAAATCATAGTTATAATCCCCATCTCTGTATACTGGCTTTCCTCCTAAACTTATATATTCAGGCAATATACATTCTACCCCAAATAAAATAAAACTTCCAGTTCCAACCCCAGTGTTGAAGTCTTGTTTCTGCTGTTGTTTTTAACAGATATACAATATATTTTTGAAATTTTGCTGTGTATAAACCAAATAGCTGTTGTTAGGAAAAGCACCGTTATAAATCATTTACCAGCAACACTAGACCTAAACTGATATGAAACAGGTATTTATGCCTAATTGTACCACTCATGTTTATAATGTTTTATACCTGTCATGTGTTGGAATTTCTCCTGCTGAAGCTTCAGAATTAACTTTAATATCCTCTAATGTAGAGTGTGTGGCTACATATGCATATCCATGGGTTCATGCACATGCCTCCTACATCCAAAAATAAAAGTAAAAGTTTTGAAACATGCAAAGCATTGAGATTTGGGGAGGTAAAAAACCTACAGACACGAACTTCTCTCCTTTGTGACCATTTCCTTGGATAATTTATGCCTTCGCTGTGTGTGCGGGACATTAAAACAAAGCCATGCTATGGCTATACCCACTTCTATCCAGATGGTGCTCTGACAGGCTTTAGATGACAACCTAGTGTTTCCTCAACACAGACCACCTTGGGAGTCAGAAAGCGGCTGGACACTATGAATGCTCTCCCTTGGCATATAAAACAAACACCTGAGGTGCATTAATTTGTGCTTTCCCATTCACAGGGTCCCTTACCTATGTAGGATGATTTACCAACTTAGCTGCCATACAAAACATGCCCCTGCAGAGAGGTCTGGCCCCTCCAACGACTTTTCCCAGAATTTTCTGATCGTATTCTCAAGCTTGTCTCTTTGTTTTCTGATTTCTTGCTTAGTTTACTTTATATAGTCTAGCACTGCATTTTTAAAGGCATTTTACCATCATGGAATTGCTAATACTTACCACATTGTCCTAAAGTAAGCATTATTCTCCTTTTGCTGTAAAAGACACAGAGATGGTTGAAATCTGTTGCTCAAGCAATCAGAATGTGGGTGAGAACTGAGCATTAGTTAACAAACATATCACGAGTGCTTTCTAGTCCCAGGTCTCTGAGGTTTGATGCTTTTATCTGATAACTGTTCCCAAAGATGCAACTAATTAACTGTATCGTGGTGGTTCATCTTAATATATGAGTGCTCAAAGGGTAGAGGATTGAAGGAAAAATTACAAAGAAAGAAGCTTCTTAATAGCCAAAGTGTTAATGTATTGAATTATGAATAATGTTAATAATGAATTATGTTAATAATATTAATAATTCATTATGTTAATAATGAATCTATTTGTTCTTATTCTTTGTAAAATTATTTCATCATTAATTAAATGTATTGTAACACAACAATTTAAAACTTAATACAAGTATGCAATGTCTTGTGGATTCTACTCATTACTTTTCTTCTTTCTTTGATCCTTGCTAGATTTATGTAGCCATCCCTTTGCTGTTTGCATGTAAGTTGCCTCTGGGTCTTTCTGAAGCTGTGCTTCAGCTCCTTGGTTTGCTATAGAATCTCCTATTATATTATGTACATAATAAATTTGTACATAATAAAGTTTGTACATATACATTATATTGTACCAGGGGTCTAATTGTCAATTCAGTTCTGTAATTTATTTTTATATTGTCTTATATTTATATCAGTGCAAATGACAACATTCATGTCCGTGGTGCCTTTCTAGTCATGTGGTGTGTTTCTATTCATAAAATGATACCTCACTCACATTTCCCACTCCCTTAGAAGTTCATTACATTGTTGTGTCCCTTGGATGGAGTTACTGTACCACCACAATATAATTGCCTATGTTCATGTCTGGAGATAGCTTCATCTTCATTCTAAACATCCAGCCAGCCAGCGACTCTCATCAGTGTTCTCAAAAGTGGACAATGAGAGACAATACATTTATTCCTTAAACATCACATTCATGTGTTCCTTGAAACAATTTAGGGTGTGCCTCTTTCTCCAATCATGGTCCAATTTGTTGGTCTCTAAGGGCTTGGCGGAATTTCTTCTGAACATTCCTTAGATTTCTATTTAAATATGAAATAGACTCTTCCATTCCACTGAACACACTGTAATTTACTCCTTTAATCTTGAACTCTTCTGCATCCATTCCTTATTAACACAACATGCTCCAAATCTCTCCATTTACCAACTGTTTATTCCTGTCGCTTTTTAAAATTCCCACTTGGAAATTCTTCTTCTTCTTCTTCTTCTTCTTCTTCTTCTTCTTCTTCTTCTTCTTCTTCTTCTTCTTCTTCTTCTTCTTCTCCTTCTCCTCCTCCTCCTTCCTCTTCTTCCTCTTCTTTCTTTTCTTTGCTCCTCCTCCTCTTCTTCTTCTTGTCAAACCTGCCTTGTACATTTGTCCTAGAGAAATCTGTAAATTTGGTACCTCTTCAATCTTAAATATGTAATGACTATTAAGCTTTTGCCTATATCTATTCAAAATGCATACTTGTCACAAGTATGTATATACTGGTAACATTATACATTATATGATGAATGTATAACAGTAATAAAAGAAAAACATGAAAATGAGAGAGATGGGGGAAGAATGCATAGACATCATTGCATGGAGAAATGGGTAGAGAAATGATGCAATTGTATTTTAATTTTTTAAATTAAAAATATTTTAAGGGCTGGAGAGATGGTTCAGCTGTTAAAGGCTAGGCTCACAATCAAAAATATTTTTAAAACCTCTAAAACATAGAAACCTACTTTGCAGTAGTAGAGGGATGCCAACATCTTAGAAGATTAGGACAGAGCCCAAATGTCTTGAAGTATTATCTGGCACTATCTTTTTTTATGGCATTGAGATTGCTCTGTGGCTTTATTTGAATTTGTACTAACACACAAGTTAGAGCTGGATTCAGATAAAAACATCTTAGCTTTCCCATCTCAAATTGAAAGTAATTTAAACATATCCGTAAGAGGTATCTATCCAAAAAGACTTAGGTGACTATTTTCTTCCTGTGAAAGTATTACATAATAAGGAGGGAGTATATATAAAAGGTAATGGATAAAAAAAGAATATAGGCAAAGAATAAGGCTTGGGACTTGCGGGCTTCACTTTTTAAATATCTGGTACTATCTTATATTTGACATCTGTAGCCATGCTTGTTCCTTCATTTGTTACACAAGAATTATCATATTAGACACTTACTAAGATTAAGTAAACAGACCTAAAGAACACAAAGAGGCTTGACACACAGATGTGCTCAATAAATGACAACTTGTATCAATATTTAGAAATATACCAATTCATAATATGAACTTTAATAGGATACCCATTGGAGGAGAAGATGTAAGAGCATAAGGGAAGTCCTACCAGCTTCAAAATAATTTTGTTATAAAATATTTATTGTGCTTACATATCAAAGTTGAATTATGCTATATCCTACTGAGAAATTCTATGCTTTTAATAATTGGTATTAAAATACTCTATGTACTGATACACAAAAACTACAATACACACGAGCTGGAAATTCTCTTGTGTTCTCAGTATTGATAGATACAAATGTTCTTTCCTGATCTCTTCTTTACAAATCCAAAGTATTCTCATCTTACTGGACCCTTAGTCTTAAGATCTGAGTTAGAGAAGTTTCTGCGCCTTTCTCCTCATAGCCATATCCATGTCCAAATTTCCCTAACAGCTATGATCTGTGAAATGAATCCAGTATTATATATAATTCTCCAGTACCATGACAATAGCACATTGTCAAATAGTAGCCAGGGAATTAAGTTGATTTGCTTATAAGTATAAAATGGAAACCAATACAATCTGGCTCTAATTTCTGAAAATAATATTTATACAACTATACATACATTTACATGAGTAAAATGAGGCTTGCAAGCATCTAATAAATTACAGCAAATTTAGTGGTTTATGAGTTGAAAGTAAAATACAAGCCTTTTCTTAATAAAAAAGGATGATTATATTTTGCACCCTCTCTCACTCCCTGAACACATGGCAATAATAGAAAGTAATACAATGAAATTTTAGAAGGTTAAAGACAGAATAAAAAGCAAGAAAATTATCTGTAATTGTCTTAGTCCATTCAAGCTGCTATAAAAAAAAATTACTGGGTACATTATAAATAGGACACTTTTTTCTGCTAGACTGGAGGCTAAGAAGTCTAAGCACAAAGTTCCAGAAGATTCTGCATCTGGGCATGTTCTCATAGATGACACACACCCTGTGTGTCCTCATATGGCAGAAGAAACCATTAGTGTGTCATGGGTTTCTTTTCTAAGTACACTAATCTTATTCTTATATATAAAGGCCTCTTGATTTGATTTCTTCTCCCATAGCCACACTTAGTAATACTAACACTCTGGGTATTAGGTTACAAAGTATAATTTTAGAGGAAAATCAGGATTTATACTGTAGTATTAGTAAATTTAAAACATGCCCAGAGGACAAACTATGAGGATAAGGGCTGGCCTAGGAGCAAGTACTAGGAGCTGAGAGGAGAAAGGGTCTATATATGTGTAAAGATGGGTTTTGGTGTGCTTCTTTGAAGTGCTCCAACAAAGCACTTGAGAACCAAAGCTGGAAAATTAAGAGGAAAGATTTGAGAAATACCCACGTTACTGGTGACGTTTGGCGGAAAGTATCCACGTAGGAGATTTGATTTGTTATCCATGATAGCATTCATTGGTGGAGACATGGAGCTGGAAGACAGAAAGCAAGATTCTATACTAAATGAATAAAACCAAAGAACCCTTGAAAGGTGGAAGGAAAGTCAGAGAAAGTACAGTGGATTTTTTTTTTTTTTTGAATTCCAGGGTAAATAGCAATCCTGTGGTTGGAAGTATTTCTGATAAATAAAACAAAAACTCATTCAAATGAAATTAATACAATAAAGTATATTTGAACTTTCCAAATATAAAAGGCAATTAGCCTCACCCTCCCCAGGGAGCAGAAAGGGTTTGTGATAGTTAGGGTTTTAGTTGGGGGGGGTGGCAGGGGAGGAGGGGAGGAAGAGGGAACTGGGATTGATGTGTAAAACCATCTTGTTTCTAGTGGGAAACAAGAGTAAATAAAATAAAATGGGGAAAAAAGAAAAAACATACATTCAAGACCACTAAAGAAAAAAATAAGTAAAGGCAAAAAGATAAAATAGAATAAAAATACAAGTTTCTGTACAGCTCCAAATCACAGATGTGGAAAATAATATTATTGAAATTGCTCAATATAATGATTAGACAATCAATATGTTACACTATAAAGAGTAGAATTAGTACATTGACACTCTTGAGAAACTCAGTATGGAGATGCAGAAAATGTAAAAATACACCTTCATATTTATTAAAAAAGTGAAATAGAGGGCAAATTGAGAGTTGAAATGGCCCTATGAAAAACTCCAAATGATAGAACAGAGTGAGGTATTGAAAGGCAATATTTAAACTTATACTTTAAAACCCTTAAACACTTTATAATGAATATGCAAAAGAAAAGGATTTTTAAAAATGCTTAAAAATGTGACAAGAGAAAATAGATTCTGTTAGAAAGGAAACAACAAAGCCATAAAAGAGCACAATGGTATCTTTAAAGTATATAGGAAAATAAAGTCCTAAGATTAAAATTGCTCATCTAATTATTTATCCTCAAATATAAGGGAAATAAAACTATTTTTTAAATAAGAAAATTTGTCATTAAGAGACAAATAAGTTTTTCCTTAAAAGAAATGAATAATAAAAACAAAAGCACATCTTGAAGACAGAAGTTTAAGTTATTTTATTTTGGATTTTTTACTTACTAGAAAAGTTAATAGTTTTATATATGAAGTTAAAGGAAAAGACAACCAAATGCCCATGAAGCAAAAAAATAGAGTATCCATCAATAAAACACTGTGTAAGAATGAAGAAATAAATTTCTTCTTCCTAAATTCCTAGTACATCTGAGTGATTACATTTTGAGATAAGGCCTTTGAGTAAGCCAGATTTACAGTATCAGACATATGCTTCCTCCTTTAAATCCAATCAGAAGGCAGTTGGTTATGGCTACATCATCTTGCTCTATGATTCTCACGAGTATGTCTTGCCATCTGAGTCATTACTATAGCCCACAGTATGCACAGCTGGATGAGAACATTGATGACTTTCCTCCCTAGCTTGCATAGCACTTTACAATATGATGAAACACAGCCATCAGAGAGGAAGCTCCCTGATCAGTGCTAACTTGATTTCTACAGGTCCTTCGACAAAAGTGTGTGGGCTTGGGATAGACAAGCCCTTGCATTTCTGTATCATCAAAACACAGGGTCCCTCTTCAGTGTCCCAGTAAGAGCTCTCCACTTTCAGCTAGCATCGGTCCATACAGTGATTATGACTTGGGTCCTTGTACATGATGGTGACTATAAGGTATGCAGCTCAGTCTGTGTTGTAGAGAGAAACAGAAGACCATATGTGCTTCCATTGAAAAGCTGCAGCCTGACCTCTGAACAGAGCAAGACCAAGTTCCTGTGGAGGTTGGATATGGGAGGAGCTAGGAGGGAGGCAGGTATGGGTAGGAAACACTTACACATTAAGATGAGCTGGGGATGTCTTTAATGTTTTATTTTATGTATATGGGTATTTTGGCTACATGGATATATATGCAGCACTTGTGTGCCTGGTGCCTGTGGAGGCTAGAAGAAGGCACGAGATTCCATGTAACTGGAGTTTTAGAAAGTTGTGAGATACCACATAGATGCTGGGAATCAGACAAAGGTCCTCTGAAAAAGCAGCAGTGCTCTTAACCTATGGATCACAGGCTTCCCATTTTTACTTTCTTGTCTTTCCTGTGCACTCGCACTCAGAAACTCAGGTTATTAGAGAATACTTGTCACAGCTACTAGAATATTGCTCATGCCTGCAGATACACAGACAGAGTGCTTCTGATGTGAGTGAACACCCAGTCAAGTGGCACTCACTCTCAGATAGTGACAGTGACTCACACACAGGCTACTGTGTCCTGGGACAATGCATAGAGCACATCAGAGAACACTGTCTTGCTTTGCATCTCCTTGGTTCTAAAGGAGGGGCAGGGCTCAGCCTCCACACCACCAGGTATATTTGTCTGCTTTGATCTTAAGAGGAACACTGGACTCCAATCTCTCATATCTGGAGATCTCTAGAGCCAAAGCTTGGAAAACATTTCTATCTCTCCAGCAAGTAGAAACTTTTGACATTTTTATTTCTTTTATCATTATATTTTATGTTTATATTACTATGTTTTTATTCACTGTTTTCTCATAACCATGTCTTAGTTAATATTTCTATTGCTGTGACGAAATACCATGACCAAAAAGCAAGTTGGGGAGGAAAGGGCTTATTAGGCTTATACTTCAGCATTGCTGTTCATTACTGAAGGAAGTCAGGACAAGAACTCAAACAGGGCAGAATCCTGGAGGCAGGAGTTGGTGCAGACAAAGGTCATAGAGGGGAGCTGCTTACTGGCTTACTTCTTATGGCTTGCTCAGCCTACCTTCTTACAGAACCCAGGACCACCAACCCAGGGATGGGACCACCTCCCATGGACTGGGTCCTCCCCCATTGATCACTAAATGAGGAAAAGCCTTACAGCTGGATCTCATGGAGGCATTTCCTCACCTGAGGCTCCTCCCTCTGATGACTTTAGCTTGGAACGAGTTGACATACAAAACCAGTCGGTATACCATGTCTCTTCTTCTTTCCTTCCTGTCTTGATTTATCTTCCTTTACCTTACTTCCCATCCCTTTTTGTTATTTTATTAATATTATTTTCCTTCATAGAGATTTCACTTCTTATTTCAGTATACATTGCTTTTTGTTCCTGTTTTTTCTTTTGTTATTGGTATGTAAAAGGTATTTATATGCTGTATCTACTATAGTGCATGTTTGTTTTGCGCTATATGTAGTTTTGTTCTGTAGTTATATGGTTTGTTTTGTCCCTCCTGAGTCATACTATGGACTGAGCCCTCCAAGTAAGGCTGTTCACCAAGAAGAAGCTCATGTTACATATAAGGCCATCACAACACATGGACAAATCACAAGGTAGAAACACAAAGAAACACAGAAAAGCAAGGCACCATGATGCCTGCAAAGGTTCATAATTTTTCAGTAACTGAACCCAAACATATAAATGCAGATTAAATTTCTGATATAATAATTCAAAAGTTGTGGAGAGCAGGTAAGTCCTGAGTGATTGTGCATTGTTGACATGGGCATAGCCATATGGAGAACACTAATGCCTTAGGTTCATGTGAATGGCATGGCCTTCCCCTATTCTGACTACAGATAACAGTGTATGCAGAAGGTATCAACCACAGCTTCCTCTTCCTTAATGACTACAGCCTGAGACTGCTGCCCCATACAGTCTCCTGCAGAGGTTATTGAACATATCTCCTCATTCAACTGTACATAATAAATGTGCTGAGATTCTTAGCTATGATGTTTTTCCATCAGAGTGCATGGGTCCACCTCACCCCAGCTTTTGTGTGCAAGTGTTTGTTGTTTCATCAGTCCCAAAGCCATGCAAGCCATGGCAAAGTCATATTTTATTTTACTTTTACTCTCTCTCTCTCTCTCTCTCTCTCTCTCTCTCTCTCTCTCTCTCTCTCTCTCTGTGAGAGAGAGAGAGAGAGAGAGAGAGAGAGAGAGAGAGAGAGAGAATCGTGGAATCGTGGGGAGAGGAGAGGGACATGTACCATGGAACATTTGTAGGGCTCCATGGTTTCTGGAGGTAATCAGTTTGCCTCATTTGTGTAACAGACACTTTTATCAGTGAACAATATCACCAGCTCATAATTGAAAAGAATTAAAGACTTCATAAAAGATACAAATAAGCAGAATAAAGATGTAAGAAGACAATACTGAATTTGAATTTAGCAAAGAATAAAGATTCTGAAGGAAGAAAAACCTGAAATTCTTGGGAGTTTAAAGCTTAACAAATCAAAAGAAATTAGAAACCATTACAAATAGACTTAATCAAGTGAAGAATACAAGATCAGGGCTTGACCCTATGGTCAGTGAGTTGTTATATTCAGATAGTAACAAAGAAAGATGAGAAACTATGAATATAAGCTCCAAGACATAAATGATACAGTCAGGAGACCAATACAAACCTAAATTCAAACAAAAGACATAAAAATACATATAATGAAGAATCCTTATAATGTAATTTTATAATAGATATAAGAATTCTTACATTCTATGTCACATTACAGTCAAAATAGCAAGTTTATAAAACATGGAAAAATATTTAAAAAAAAATAGGAGAGTAGCTCCAGGCCACCTATGAAGGGAAACCCCTCAAAAATAATAGAAAATATCTCAGCAAAACTCTGAAGTCCAAGTTAGACTGTAATGGTGGGTTTCAAAACATGAAAGAAACTAAATGTCAACCAATATGCCTACCAAATCTATCCTATAAAATTTTAAGAATTGTGAGATAACCTGACCTAAAGCAATTCATGACTACTAAGCCTGCATTGGAAAAGATAGTTAAAGTAATCCTGCAAATAAAGAGAAAATATACTGAAGGGTGGACACTAGCTTCTATTAAAGAGTAAATTGGAAAAATTAAAGTCTTCTGTCTCCACACAGAGTTCTGTCCATACGCCAAAAATCACTCTGGGAAAAGTGGCTTATTCTTTCTGCCATAACATCAGTGTAGTGGCCCATGAGTAGTATGGAGTAGCCATGAGGAA